GTTGGAGAAAGTCTATCTAAGCATTGGGAATTCTCACACATACACACACACACACAAAAAAGACAACATTCCTCAGGACCAAATCTGATCTATTATATCTCCAGTAACAACTTATGTAACTATTCATTAATTCTTTCACAAATCAAATACATAAACAGTTTTCTAAGAAAACAAACATCTCCTGTCTACCCAAAAAGGAGATGATAAACAATAGTAATATAAATAGTTGAAAACTATGAATAATATCATGCCAGTTTCCATTAAGATACAAAAAGACTAAGGATTTAAAAGACTAAGGTTAAATACAGGAAATGTTTTCAATTCAAAGGAAATGGGAGCAGAAAAATGATCCAAAAGAAAAAAAATCTTTCAACTCTGAAATATAAATTGGATTACAGGAATATGAAACAGCAACTTCAGTAAAGAGCTGTGACACAAATTTTTGACACTTGCAGGAGAAACATGAAGAGGCTGAACTAAAGCAGATAAGGGGTCTGATTCACAGCTGCATGAATTAGCATGACCCCAGTCAAATCAGTGGAGCTTTTCTTTTTCTTTTTTTAGAAACCTCAGTAGGATTGGGCTGAAGTTACCTCAACAGTGAAGAGACCTACAGCCACAACCTGGAAGGGGAAGCACATTTCAGAAAAAGTCCAGTGTATTCTGTATGTGCTTCTTTCCTAGTCAGCTTTACATAGTAACACAGAGGGGTGCTGCTTTTCTGTTGCTGCAACTGCACTGCATTGAATCTCACCTAGAGCTGATTTGGTTCATTTTATTTTTAACTGCCATTTTAGATCTATATATCTACTTAACTATCCAAAGGCAATCTTCAATATTGCATGGGAAAGATTTTTCAAAACTCATGCTGAAACCATCTTCCTAGTAATTCATACACATTTTTGAACATCAAAACAATTCTAAAAATGTCTTAGCTAAGTTGAATAAGCTAACACAGATGAAACCTCAGGCTCCTAAGGCTAGGCAACCTCAAGGTACTCAAACTGCTTCATGTGCTGCTCAGTGATATATCACTGCATGGCTTCTTCAACACAGGCATCATCTTAAGATTTCCACACCCCACATCACTTTGAAAATAAACTGCATGCTTCTCAACTTCATGTGGTTAGGAACCACATTTTGCTCTTGCAAACATTTCTCTCATCTTGTGCTCTGACTCATAGATACAGCAATTTCTCTAACTTCCTTGAAAGAAAATATTTTCAAACATGCCCAGAAGTTCAACACTAAAATCAGAAAATCTTTCATGAGGTAGTTAAAGCCCTTTCTCAAACTCACCATTGTTCACTCTAAGGCAGTACATCTCACCACTGCCACTTTTGCAAGAAGAGTTTAGTTGTCCGTGCATTAGTAAGAAAGGATAATTTAGTGTGGGAAAGGAGAGGGACCAGCATACACAGCACAAATCTGAGAATTTATGTTTTTAGGGAAAATATAAGGAACAAACACAGAAAGCAGATAGAAGTTAGGCCATTTATTTTTCTTTCTTCCCTATGCACCTCATTGCAATGTTCTGTCCTGTGCTCATATGGATGTCAGTATTAAGGAATGTATGAAATGTACATTAGTTGCTCTCTAGACTATGGACTGCATTATTGCTTGTACATGAAATTCTCTATCCAACAGAATACTGGAAATATGCTTCTTGTACCCCTTTGAGAGATACACCACTCTGTGGAAGTATTTTAGAGCACTCTGAAAGCAGTGTTAGGTTTTTATTCTTTGCCCTGACACTGGTGATTCATATTGCATAATTTTTGATGGGATGGCAAGAGCAGGCTGATAGCACAGGGTATAACATAGAAAAAACTAGGACACCATTTCTAGTCATGCAGAGGCCAGTAAAACAAAACAAGTGCAACCAGTGGAGCTATCATGTCATTCATCTATTTGCACTAAACCAACAATGAAAGGTGTTACTCACAGGAAGAGTTTATTGCATATTTGGGGGAAAAAAGGAGGTTCTGGACAAATAGTGGATTGAGTACACCACTGCTTATTATTCTCAGTTTAGTTAGACTCAGGATATCAGAAAACCAGAGGGGAAGAGAAGTAGCCATCAGCACGCAGTAGTTCAGTCCCTCAGCAAGAGGCGCAACAAAACTGCATAGCAGCAGCTATTGTACCAAAAGCTAAACAAAGAGCCCAGCCTCACTGCTACTATCCAAGGAGCCAGAGCACTGTCCTTACAGCTGTCAGGTGAGACAGAGAAACCAGCCTGCCCCAGCCCCCAGACTCCAGTTGTAGCTCAAGCCTAGCAAATACTGCCACTGTCCCAGCCTGCAAATGCAGCTGCTGAGCTGGAGGCCATACATGCAGGCATTTGGCTTAGCTCCTGTGCAAGGGTTATTAAGGTTGGGCTGCAACACCAAGCAAGGTCACTTATGTCTCTTCTAATCCTCAGGTTAAGATTATGAAATAATGAAGTACCTTAGTGCTGTAGTATTACTGTGACCATCCCAAAACTCAGCACATAAGCGTCAGCCTTCATTTATTCCACAACAGAATTTTATTATTTCTTGGTGTTTTACAGGATTGTCCTTTTTTTATAGGTGTTTGGAGACATCTTTCTCATCTGTCGGTAGCAATGGAAGTAACGAATGACTGCTTGTGTATGCACAAAATCATGCTCTTTTAGACTTTTATGCCCAGCCCTAAAGGATTTTTCCTACCTATACTAACTACTCGGGCTTTTTACATCCAGTCAATTCATTGTAAAAGTATGAGAGAAAGAGTTATCATACCTGATTTTTCCATCCAGGATGGATGATGGAAAAATTAGACAAGCCACAAAAAAAAATTCAGTTAACACTTAAAAGGGTTCACAATTAACAAAGGAAGGTGAGGGCAGCAGACAGGGAACTTGAATACAGAATTTTGCATGACTTTAAAAAACATCAGTGTCAGATCTGTGGGAATAAGGGAAATAGAACCTGTACAGGGATTTACTAAGCAGTTCTTTGAAACTGCTTTTGACAAAATGAATGACAGTTTTGAAAAGCCCATTTTTTAAGATTTTAATGCTACATCAAACATGTCTTGTTGGATCACATCACAACTGAGGCAAGCTAAAGGATGTGTTGAGGAGAGAGATATGTCAGCCCAGAAATAGTGTACATTCATACACACATGCACAGTCTCTAATCCTGCATTGTTTGCTTTCCCATGTGAATAACTGATTCACACAAGCCACTCTGTAAAAAACGCTACAGAGCCTACCTATCTTAACTGAAACAAACATAGGTCATTTCAATGAGCTAATTACTCATATTATTTTTAAGAATTATATTTTTGCTCATTTTCCTACCACAAATATTTTCACATTATGCCAGATACAAGCACGTAAATAGTAAAGAGCTCAAGTAGTTGCAACGCATCTGAGTTCCAGCATATTTCCAGGCTAAAGAAATCATGAGAGACAAGGTGCAGTCACTGTTCCAAATGCTCTGTTCAGCCTTTAGCTGGAAAAAATGAAGTGAGACCAAAATAGTGTTATTTCTCTTCTCATCACCTAGCAACACTCCTCTTGCAATAGGAACTTAGCCAGTTATGAGAAAAAGAAAATTAGAGGGCAGAATGACACATTCTGTTCCAGACAGTCCAAAACATACAGTAAGGTGACAGATACTGAGCAACACAATGCACAATTAGCCTAATAGCAGTTTTCTGAGGTTTGCAGTCTGTCATCTCTGCAGCCACACTGTGCAGAGTTCCCCCATCCGAACAGCCTTAATGCCTTATGACAGCTCTATAGCAATAGATCTTGTTCCTAAAAATAAAATAGGCATAATGTATCTTCCATGCTCTGCAAGTATGAATAATATTCAGAAGCCTCCAAACTGTTGTTCCTAGAGATTCATTCCCATTGTTGTACAGGCTGCCAAAGGGAAGGTTTACAAAGCAGGAAGACACTAGAAATCACGATATTGTCTTCCTGATGTCAGACTTTAGAAAATCATTCTAGCATTAGTTTTTTGTGTTTCTTCTTTTTAAGAAATGCAGACTGATATGAAACTATTTGGTAGAAGCTGATTTTGAAGCAAGAAATGAACAGCAAAAACATAGCTAGCTACTTTTGCAATGATTCATTAAAATGCAAACATAGTCCTTTTGGATTTGTGACTGTACAAAAATAGGACTTACACTGAAGATATATTTAAGAAGGTAGCAATTTTAAAGTAGACTTCTAGCTCACATTACATGTCTGAATTCTACCTTTAATTTCACTAAAGGTTAAAAATCAGCTTTTTAACTGGAAACTCTATACTAATCATGTAACAGGCATATTGAGATATTTACTATGTGTATTTGGATATCTTTTATAGATGTGTGCAGAGAATCTGAAAATGTACAGAATTCAGTGAAATGTAGTTTTTTTGGGTTTTAACTACCAGAAGAAAGGGAAGAACTTTTTAAAAACTTTTCCATTCCCAAGGGGATTAGTGCCATGAAAGAAGATTCAAGCTTCTGCAGGCAGGTTCCCTATGTCTCTGAGTAGATGATCTGACCCCATTTCTACCACCTGAGAGATTAATTTTTGTGACAAGTTCCAACAGTATTTTATTAAAGTTGATTCTAAAATATGAGAAATTTAATTAAAAACAGCAGAAATACCCATTGAATTACAGAGATTCTGGAATCTCTCACCAGTTTCACTTCAGGCAGTCTGTACAACGTCAAGCAATCTATGGATTGCTCTTTCTCTTTTTTCTTGTTCCAGACTCGTGTTAGGAAACTGTTACTGCCCACAGCAATTCTATCATATTTGAAGCAAACTTCATTCTCTGGTATTCATTCTCTGGACAGAATAAGTGCACTGCAGTAGTTAGACACAGACACTAGCTTTTTTTCCCTGTAAAAATGGGGTTAGTTCTCGGGCTCACAGGAGGTAAAGGGGATGGCTGCTGCTGCCGCCCCATGGCTAACGCCAAGTGGGAAGGAAACCTCTGCACCCCACCTGCAAGCTGAAAACCACATGAATGTGTTACCTTGGAAGAACTCTGATCTCCTGCTTACAGAAGGTAAGCTCCTGTTTAGCCCCAAGATCCTGTCCAAATGAAAGGCAAACACCTCACTCATGTCAAGCGGCCTTTTGACAATTCCACAGTATCCCTGATTACAAGCAGTTCCCGTAGTGCTGGGACCTCTTGCAAATACTGCAAGGACTGCTTTGTGCGAAGGTACTTCTTGAATGCCCTCGATGGGAGAGTCTGCCAGCATGCGCATGTTGAGGATGTCATCTTTGCTCATCCATGAGGGAGGGCTCTCGCTATAAATCCTGATATTGCTTTCCTCAGGCTGGAGCTGTGCCTTTACAGCTCCAGAAATCCTCCCAGGTCTCTGGTGACCTCTCTCCCTCATAGCCATTCCTTTATGCCTGTGTTCATCCAGTTGGTACTTTCTTGTCTCCAGAGCGATCGCCGGTCCCTTTGTGCCTGCGGCATGTGTGGCCTGCCCTGGCTGTTGGGCAAAGGCCTCTTCCCAGCCCATAAAAGTGGCTTTTGGAAAGTGCTGCCCGTAGGACAAAGGGATTGCATTTTTCTTCCTGCGCTTTGGCTTCACTGTTCCTCTGATGTTGGCAGGCTTGCTGCGCTTGGACCGAAGGGTGATATAAACTACATTGGGTGGCAGCAAGGTCCCATTGCTACCAAGCTGGGGTTCCTGGAAATTGGGTGGTGACAGGGTGCCATCCAGTGGGATGCCCAGAAAAGGAGTTTGAGCTGCATCTTGGAGACTTCTGGAACTGATCTTTCGATGTCCTCCTTTGTGTTGCGGTAAAACATGACCCACTTGGCTGACAAGGAATCCCAGGTAGATCACACAGGCAGTGCCCACTAGCAGATTTCTCCTTGTCCTTGGGCGCCTGCAAGTCCAGAGCCTCAGCAGCCGTGAGGGCCACAGGCAGCAAATAAAGAAGTTTTTGATTTTACTTGGCTGATCAAAAGGGGTCATTTCTCTAGTGAATCCACATGATGAAAATAGCATAAAGTCTTCTGTACATTCCAGCCAGGATGATGATGCATCATTTCCCTTCCCCAATTTCTATTTCTTGTTTTCCAAGTAGCTTCCAGCATGGGCAATGGACAGAGGCTACTGATATGCCTGGGAAAGTGGTCAGCACTAAGGATGCTGACACTCCACCTTCTCAAACTGTTAAATTCTTATCAGCTACCACAGAGGAAGTGATTGGCTTCAGAGAATGAATGGAGCCAGCTGCGTAAGCAAAGTTTACTGGCTTGTAGTCTAAAAGATCTATGTATCTTCTTTGCAAACTGCAAAAAGAAAATAGTAGCATTTCCTTTCATTACTCACACATAGCATCTGTGGCTCTATATTTTTCAGAAAAAAGAAGTTCTAGATGAGACAGTATGCATCTAGGAATTTGTCAGGATAGATCTTTTACTTTCTCATTACAATATAAATCAAACACCAAAACTATTAAATACAGGCTCAATTTTCAATCTCAGATGGATGTATTCCAGCATTGGAAGAAATGCTTGTCAAATCCAGATCATTATCTTTTTCTTAGAAGACAAAGTCTTCACTAAACCTCATGTTATGGAAATGCTGTAAATGATCCAAATATGAACCAGTGACAAGTAGTTAAATATGCACATATTCACTAATATAAAAATATATTAGCAGTGCCAAATTTCCCTAGTTGACTATGAATATAGTTCCCATCATTCAAAAACACACATTAAAGTTGAAAGATGGTTAATCCTCTTCACTCTTGTGAAGCCATAAAAATAATCTAGCAATAGTTTTTAAAATAAAATTACAGTGGCTTATAGATCTTTCCAAGAAACAAAGAATAAGTGCAAATTGTATATAGATTGCTATAAAAATAAAATTTCTTACCTATTCAGCTTGACACATCCTTTGTTCTGGTAAACTCCTTAGGTTAATAAAAGAAACTGAGTAAAAGCTGGCATCTAGAATATATTTCACTTTTAAGTATGGTTCACATTTAGGTATTTCATTGCAAGCTAAGAACTGTTGAGAAGCTAACTTTACTGAGAGGTGGTTGCATATGAACTGCTATAAACTTACATGAACTTCACGTTATTAAAAAAACCCCAAACCAAACAACCCCCCACACAAAACCACAGCAACTTCTATTTTAAATTCTGTAATGAAAAGTCCTGTGAAGTATGTGCCTTTCAAAAGTGCATTCCATCTATTTGTAACTCCTGAGAGCCCTCTAGTGCACTGCATGCAAATGTACTAAACAAATTCCCTTTACTGCATTTAGTTTTTTGGGGGTTTTGAGTTTGAAATACTGCCCACTCCCTGGATATTATAACTTTTGAAAAAACAGCCACTTTTAAAATGTTATTAATCGGCTACCAAACAGCTCAGGAGTGTCTCCTATTTGCACTTTCTGGAGTGAAGCATAGCATAGTTCCTATACAGCTGGAAAAGTTGGGGCAGACAGAAGCTAAGGGCAAACCTCTGACATCTGACTCCTTTCCTAGTCTAAGTATAAAATAATAAAACGTATATTCTCACTGCAATTGAAGGAATGGGGACATTCTCTTTTCCATAGCTACTATTAAAGGAGAATAGACAGTTAAGAAGTTCATTTATGTTTCCTATTGGTTCAATATGAATTTATAAAAGTTTGTGAGGGATTTTTTTTTTTTTACAAGACATCACTTATCCTTACTTTTTCTCTAAATATGTACTATCAAGTTAAAATTTCAATATCCATGCCCATTAGCAGTAGAAGAGCCTTCCTGTTACCTGTTTTTCCCAAATCTGAGTTCTTGGAGGAATTTGGATTGTAAAAAATCTCTTCATCCACTTCAGTTGTTCTCTTTCTTGTTTCAGTTCAAATTTGACTGATGGGACATATCCCAAACAAAGACAATTTATTCCAAAAGCTCCAGACAAGTTGCTTTAGTTGGAAATGCATCACACTGCAACAGTTGTTTTCAAATACTTGGTTCCTGCACGTACACAGCACCTGTCTATTACAACCAAGCAGTACCAAAGCACTGTAAATTCCAGTTGCTAACAGCTCTCCTCTGCTATAACAATTCTCTGAAATTCTCTGTAATCTATGTAATCTTTCTACTGCTACTCTTTAAATATTATCTGGAGGAAGTTATAAAAGGATATGGAGAGTCATTCTTCACTTCTCATTTCATTTGCAGCCTTGAAATTGTAATGTGTACAGAGTAGACTGCTGGGTTTTTTTGGGGCTCTCTAAACGTGATAATAGCAATTGTATTTCCTTTATTTCTCATGTTCAGAAGAGATAGCTCAGGTACTGGTATGTTCTTTGGAATGGATGGTGGTAGAAAATCAACTACAATATCTTGTTATTTTAACAGGTATTTGCCTCTAATTTTGGATTCTTAAAAGGCAAAATATCAAGTGATTTTTTTTTTTTCTTTTTTTTTTTATTTCAGCCCCTGGGGTGTACAGCTCCAGTGCCTTAGCAGATACCATAAAATCAGGAAGGCTGAAATGACTATGGAGTTGTCTGGAAAAAAAAAAAAAATTCATTGTGTTCCACAAGAAACAAAGAAAATGGGTTTTGTTCATGTGGGTACTATTCTTCTCTCTGAAATCATTCTAACCCAAAGTTACAGCAAAGCACTAAAGGGTACTACTAAGCTGAAACAGTACTTCCTTTGTGGCAATAAAATATTTAAGACAAGCTTTCAGAACAGCAGTTGTTGTCTAACCAAATTCTGGCCTATATTATTTCACTTTGCTACCTACAGCTAGCCTGTAGTATCTGTCAGATTTTGTATTTGTTCCTTGCTCTAAACTATAACTGTGATATTGCCATCTGCATCTATTAAAGTCAGCTTTTCATGTAATTTCTTCATATACCTATCTTTCATGGTCAGTGTTGTACCTTCCTAAGGTTAGGAATACAGGAATATAAAAACTAATATAGGAAAATAGCAATGAATAGAAGAGGGGAATTAAATAAGTATTTCTAGTCCTTCACAGATCTAGGTATACTTTTTAAATATTAATTAATAGCTGGATTAATTATTTGCAATAATTTTCTTCCTTTTTTTTCCCCTTTTTTGTTTTGTTTTGTTTTTTGTTTAACTTTGGAATTCACCAACACCAACACCTGCATTTGAAGAGGTTTTCTACTGGTGCTAGACAAGCTGCAGAATCCGAAGTAGCTGGTGGCCTGCACTGCTCCTAACAGGAGGTCTCTGTCCTATTTGCAGAGACAGGTAGAGTGTGCCAATGCCCACCAGTCACAAGCTCCTGCATCTTGACTTCTCCTTATCCCTGGGTACCTGAAAGGATGTGGTTACAGACTAGGCTCCTTAATGTGTGTGCTCTTGCTTTCTATGTGCAGGCACTTCAATGGAAAAGGTTAACATTTTTCCTATCACTTTTTTTCTGAATAAAATAATGCAACACATACACTGATCTGCCTTTAGAATTTTTGTTTTCTGTAGGCTACCTTTGCAATTATGATATGGAACATTATTTCTTTTAGATGCAATTCAGCCATACAGTTTCCATAGAGATCTTCTGCTGTTCATCTCTAAATGACACATGGACAGACATTTATGTTAAAATTATTGATAAATGGTGCTTTCATAGCTTTACTGAATCCATACAACTGACAGCTTATTCTCCAGAGAAACAAAGTAAGCCCCAATTATGAATAATGCAGATTTGACTTGCAAAATATGAAGCATTACTTCAGAAGGCTCGTGCTGTGTTTGTAAGGAGATCAATTTGGGCTGCCATCTGGAAACTGTACTTCAAGAGCACAGAGAGAAATGTTTGCTTCGTGACTAAACATGCTGACTAATAGTCTGTGCTTTAACTGGTCGGGATCAAATCCTTACAGGGAAATCTACAAAGACCTCTTCCTGACATCATGTAAAGATTCTTTTCCTACTTGATTTTGGTTGCCAAACAACACAGGGGCTTCCAGACCAACAGCTGGTAATTTTTATGCTTAAGAAAAATAAAAACCTGGATGCCCTGACCAGGCTCACTGGTTTGCTTGCCTTGCTGCACACCACAGGGCCAGCAGCTGTTGCACAGCCTCGGATGTCCCTGCCTCCCCCAGATACCTGCCCTCCTCTGCAGGTGCCTGCAGCCCCCAGCCCTGTGCCAGCCTCTAGCAGCCAGGGAGACCTGAGCAGGGAGAAGAGCTGCAACGAGGCCATGCTGCCCCCTCTGCGAGCAGCCCCACTTTGGAACCATGTCTGTGTTCCTGGGCAGGTGCCTTTTCTGGAACACAAGTCCTGTGAGGAGCAGCTGAGGGAGCTGAGGGTTTTTAGCCTGGAGAAAAGGAGGCTCAGGACTTTACTGCTCTCTACAACCACTTGAACAGATGCTGTAGCCAGGTGGGGCTTGGCCTCTTCTCCCAGGCAACCAGCAACAGGATGAGTGGGCATAGCCTCAAGCTCGGTTTGGGGAGGGTTAGGCTGGACATTAGGAAGAATTTCTTCACAGAAAACATTGCAATATAGTGCCTAGGGAGGTGGTGGAGTCACCTTCTCTGGGGGTGTTGAAGACTGATGAGACACACAGCAGGTGACTAAACACTGGAATGGACACAGGGAGGTGGTGGAGTCTGTTCCAGGAGGTGCTTAAGACAAGATGTGGCACTTAGTGCACTCCATGGTCTGGCTGGTATGGTGGTCCTGGTCACAGGTTGGACTCGATGATCTCCAGAGGTCTTTCCGAATCTAATTGACCCTGTGATTCTTCAGTTACGGTCACAGCACCACCGGCCTGTGGAGCTCACAGCTGCACTTCCAGTAGGGAGGGAACTGTCTCATCCGGCACTGACGCCGGGAGGGCCAAAGGCGCTTTTATCACGACATTAGTTAATCTAAGTTGTCTCTTAGTGACTCTTCCCCGCCACGGCGACGAGACAAAGGCAGCGGAAAAGCGGCCCCGCTCCCGGACGGGGAGGCAGAGGCCATTGGGAAGGAGCGGATGGAAGGAGGCGGATGGGGGCGGGCCGGGGCGCGGGGCGGAGCAGGCGCGGGCGGGCGGCCGCGGTGAGCGGCGGTGGGGCCGTGCGGGTCCGGGGCCCTGCGGTCCGGGGCCCTGCGGGTCGGGGCCCTGCGGGTCGGGGCCCTGCGGGTCGGGGCCGTGCGGTCCGGGGCCCTGCGGGTCCGGGGCCCTGCGGTCCGGGGCCGTGCGGTCCGGGGCCCTGCGGGTCGGGGCCCTGCGGGTCGGGGCCCTGCGGGTCGGGGCCGTGCGGGTCCGGGGCCCTGCGGTCCGGGGCCGTGCGGGTCGGGGCCGCGCGGGTCCGGGGCCCTGCGGGTCCGGGGCCGCGCGGGTCCGGGGCCCTGCGGGTCCGAGGCCGTGCGGGCCCCGGCCGGCGTGGGCGCGGAGGGGCGCGGGCGGCGGAGCTGAGGCTGCACGGAGGGAGGGACGGGGCCGGGGATCTGTCGCTTTGGGACCGTCCCGGCCGCCTTCCGCCCCGGAGCGCCCTAAAACTCGCCGCGGCGCTGAGCCGGGCACGGGGCGCGGGGGGAATGACGGCTGGAGCGGGTCTGGGCTGTCCCCTCGCGGTGCGGTGCCGAGCAGCCGGGCTGCCCTGCGCGGCGGCGGGGCCGGGCCTGCCCCGGGGCCGGGCCTGCCCCGGGGCCGGGCCTGCCCCGGGGCCGGGCCTGCCCCGGGGCCGGGCCTGCCCCGGGGCCGGGCCTGCCCCGGGGCCGGGCCTGCCCCGGGGCCGTGGCGTCAGTGAAGGGACGGGTGGAGATCTCAGCTGAGCGCGTTCCTTGTTCCGTGATAGCACTTGGAGAAAACCGTGCCCGAAGAACGTCTTTTGAAAGAGTTCACCTCAGGGAAGCAAAGATACATTGCTAGAGTAAGGGTTATGGTGTCGCTTGGGCACCTTGATTGGAGCCGCGTCGGAACCCAACGGAGTGTCCTAAGTTAAAAGTATCCACCTGTAGTGGTCAGTGCATAATAAGAGAAATGTGCAAATAAACAGTACGACGTGAAACATTTAAAAGTACCCACTTACTTAGCAAAGAGGTTCTTTGGAATCTTAGCAACAGTTTGGTTCACCATTGAGGTGAAAGCTCTCAAAGACGGGGCCTCTTGATTTTGTCCCTTTCTGCAGAGATCACAGCTATATGTTGCTGTTGCAGTAAGTGAGCATCGTGTTTGTTGTGTGTGTCATATTTCCGAGGGAATTGTGGAAATGCAGAGTACAGCACTCCAGTGGGGTGAACCAATGAACTTAGTAGGAAAAGAGCAATGTGTGCCAGCAAAATTCCAACATCCAACAGCAAAACTGTATTATTTCTGCTGCTGAGAATCCTGAAGTACTTTTCAGTAAGGGCAATTTGACGGAAAAAAAAGGCTTCAATAACAGAATCAATTGCAGTTGCCTTTGCTTGAGTTTCTGATACAACCACTATGCTTTAAGAGCATAGCAGCTTCAGCATTTGGCATTTGTTCTTGTAGTTTTAGCATTTGTTACCTCTTATGTCTTTGGAGGCACATATGCAAGTCTGTCTGGCAATAACATAGGATTGAAGAGAAGAGGCTTTTAGTGAACTCTCAGAAGCTCTCTGATGTGGGAAGTATGTAGAAAAAATATATTCAGCTTAATGTTTTGTAACAATGTATTATTTGCTCTTGACATTTGATCATATAATATTAGAATTATTTAGCTTGGAAGGGATCTCTGTTGGTTGTTTGTTCAATTCCTTGCATAAAGCAGTGTTGTTATCAGTGTTAGAGCAGGTTGCTTCAGGCCTTGTCTGATTAAACTTTCTCTTTAAGGATTTGAATTGGAGTTGAAAGTTGGGTGTGAAATTTAGCCAAATTTGGAACAAAGTGTCCCAAGTTTTGGAAAGTTATGTACACAAAGTTCACATTGTTATGGTTGTCCTCAGAGACACCTTTTCTGTCAAAGTCTTACTCCATATCAAAAGTGTATGTGTGGCTTATCTCTTGAGTGTAACCTCAAGATGACTCACTTTAAAAAAAGTCAGAGATATTCTAGGATTAAAATTATCTTTGCCTTACTTACTATACTTACATGGAATGAACAAAGAAATTTTATAGGCAGCTTCCTTTGCTCCCCACAGGAAAATGAACCTTTATTCATATTTAGTATCAGCTAGAGCAATCCGGGTGGTTACTTTATGATTCCATGCTGATCTCATTGAGGCACCTATAGAATCTCTGCACCTGTTCCTGACTTCTTGCCAATGGGTCTGCTGTAACTGCTGCCAATGAAGATTTTGTCTAACCCCATTTTTTGACACACCCCTGTGTGACCTCCCCCCCCTGCCCTTTGTCTGCAGGAATAAAGAATATTCTAATAGCATCTCACTAAAGCATCAGGGCTTCCAATAGCCCTCACAGATTCGAGTCCTCATAACCTTTGAGTGCACCTCTACATTCATTTCTTGTGTATTCAGACAGAAATACAATATTGGGGGTTTTTTGTTTATCTTTTCACTTCATTCATGTTTTATGGCAGGTTTTCATTAGGTTCTTACATGAACCTTTTCTATATGAACCTCTGTAGTTCATTTCAACTTTGAGAGATTGATAAGTAGGGTCCTTTAAATTTCAGATTTCTAAACCAAGTTGATATTAATTAGTAACCCACATAAATAATTCTATTCTTTGATTCCAGATTCTGTCCGGACCTGCAGCAAAACAACTCCACAAAAAGAAACAACTTCAGAACAAAGATGAATATTGGGAAAGCTTACAGTGCTGCTAACATCAGCAATGGAACAGATCTAGTTATTGGCTTTACCTCTTCCACAGTAGCTGTCCTTCTATTTGGGACAAACTTTGTGCCTGTCAAGAAATTTGATACTGGTGATGGTAAACTTAATTATATTCTTCTCTTTCGTTTGCTATTTTTGCTAAAAGGAATAATATTTTACCAGCAAATTACTAGAGGCCATCATCAGAGCCTTAATCCAGAGACTGTGTTTAATTTTGTCTGCTGTTCTTAGGGTATAAAGCAATAATACTGCTTCAGGATGTGGCATATCTTTAGAAGAGCCTTTTTATAAGTTGTGCACTTTGACAGTGATGATGTACATTTCATGAGAATTTCACAATGGAAAGTGAAATGTTCTTTGTTCTACCCTTGTGGGGATTCTGATACATAAAGTGTTATTTATAAATAAGGTAAACGTTGTTGGACTTTGGAGCATTGCCTTTCAATTGTGCACCTAACATAAAAAACAAAACCTGAAAATTTAGTAATTTTATTTTCTGACTTGGCAAGAGAAAACAATCATTCCTATTTCCTACTTGGAATATTTTCACTTTACTAGGTTTATTTTAAATTTTCATGTTTATATGAAGCATATATGAAGCATAACTAGTTACCAGATCTGTAGATGATTAAATTTGCCATTATATTATTGCAATATAGTACCTGCATCACAGGCTGGATATAA